TAAAGTTTTTAACATATTTGACCCCTGTGACCTTGAATATGGGAGAAGGTCATTTATTTGAACAAACTTTGTAGCCCTTTATCTCAGCATACTACTGGCCAAATATCATCACCCTGGGCATTTTGGTTATTCAGAAGAAGTTGTTTAAAGATTTTTTTTAAGGCAATTGACCCCTGTGACCTTGAATATAATTGAGGGTCATTCATTTAAACACACTTGGTAGCTTTTTACCCAAGCATGCTACTGGCCAAATATCATCTCCCCGGGCAGTTTGGTTATCGAGAAGAAGATGTTTAAAGTTTTTAACATATTTGACCCCTGTGACCTTGAAAATAGGTGAAGGTCATTAATTTTAACAAACTTTGTAGCCCTTTATCCCAGTTTGCTTCTGACCAAATATCGACACCCTAGGCCTTTCGGTTATTAAGAAGAAGTCGTTTAAAGTAAAATATTGACACCGGACGACGGACGGACGGACGACGGACGCCGCGCCACGGCATAAGCTCACTTGGCACTTCGTGCCAGGTGAGCTAAAAATGTACCATCGTATTTACTGAAACGTGGTACTCAGGTAAATCCTACTTTACCTATGATGAAGTAGAATCGTTCTCTTTGAAAACATTGCATTCACTTGGCTCTGATACAAATTTTAACCAATGGCAGCATAATAAAACTCAAAAGCATGTCCTCTTTTGCCTAGTCTTTATATTCTCCTTCGACACTTTAGAGTCTGATTTTGCCAAGTAAGAAAACTATACCTTAATGGTATCCATACAGCAATACGACGAATCCATTCAAAACCTCTTTAATTCTATCATCGTTTTTGATACACGATGCATTCAAATTCTGCTCAGTTACTTGCATAGTTGAAACATATCAACTATGGAAATACCATTGTGAATAGCGTTTAACATATGGTTATTTCCAGGAACTTGCAGCACATTTAAAAGAACCAGACGCGGTGACGACAACGCCAGAAAGTAAGATATGTTTTTGTTTTAACATTGTTGTTAACATGACATGCACGTACCTTCGGGAAAAGAAGTAACCCAAGCAATAGATATGCGTTAAGTTGTATTAATAGTTTTTCATAAGTTGTCAAAAATGATGCTTGTAAGAGTCTGTGGATATTTTATCCTTATTTTGTTTGAATTAATGGATGTTCTTATCCAAGGAAAAATGTAACCACCTCAAACGATAAAACTGCTGTATCAATATGTTTTGACAGCGTTGTTCACTTAATAAATCCCTAATAAATAACATTTTTTGACATGTAATCGCCAGTACAACTCGACTTCATATTAAATGTCACTAATACCTTAATCCATGTCCATATGTTCGTAGTTGACATTTTAAAATTTTTATTGGTAGAGTTGAGGCAAGATCAGAAGCTATACCAGTGTATGGTAGCGGAGAGTATGACAGCTGGTGGTCAGTATTACATATCAATACCAACAACATTTTGAATGTTTTAGGTGAAAATACACTGATTATTATAAATCTTGATAAATATTTCTTGATAATTTTCACAGTGGATCCCATTAACCCAAATATCAGCGTGATTTCCTATTAATATCAACAAGTTTGTCATGCGCAAAAATACAATAAATATTATATTGCTTACGACTACAAGTTATATGTACTCAGCGAATTCAAGTATCAAACTTTTTTTCTTATATATCTTTATGGAAAAGGGATAAATGGCATAGTAGAAAAAATGCAAAAATAATTGTATCTCCGTGTGCTGATTAAAATAGTATTTTTCGTTTTTAACTATGTAAGTAAAATTTCTTTAACTTCTTCTTTCAACTCTGAAAAGTGATTTAAGATATCCATTTTCGTTATTTTTTAATGACTGAATACCAATTTTCATTATCTTTTTCGCAGAATTTATGCTTAGTATAAACAAATTCTGCAATTAAACGTTTCTTAATATTTAATGGATCAAAAGGGATTTTTTTATCTTCTTTTAAACAGTCACAAAATGGGTGATCCGTCTGCTTCTTTTTTAGTTCCATTATTATTTGTGTTATTTGTCACCTTTTTCGGGGTCAAAAATCGAAAGTGCTTCAGTAACTCTAAATACAGTTGTATGTGAAAAAATACCAATAATGTACAATTTTTCACTTGGATGCATATTATTTTCATCATATTCAATATTAGAAAGTAGTAAATCAAAAACATAAACATGCTACAATTAAAAATGACGACACAATGACGATTTAAGTGATCAATCTAGTGTCAAAAAGGTGTATTTTTGGCCTTTCGGGAAGCGCAAGAAATACATACATTATGTATTACAAAATGATCGTTGAACTTCTCATTTTTGTTTAGATTCTTATAAAAAATCTACAAACAATAAGTCCAGTTTTTGACACATTTTTCAGATGTATCTTTGCTTTTAAAGTTGATCATAATTTGTTAAATATTACAAGGACTTAATACACGAGATCAAAACGAGACTTAAACGTGATTTAAACCTCAGAAGAGTACAAGTATTAAATTTAACAAGTGTTAAATAATATATAACAACCGTTGTTACCAAAAGAACTCATTTCTGTTGCAAACCACTAACCGAAACCTATTAATGCTGTTGTCACTTACCAAAGCTCATTTATGTTTAAGTGATTTAACAAAGAATATTTACCAGAAAGCAAGTGAATAGTTAATTGCCAACAAAACGTAATTCGAAGGCAAAAACGATAAAACCTGTGCATAAACCATGAACATGAATGATTAACTAAATAATCGATATGATTATTGGATAATCATATAAGAAATTCCATTTTTCGGTGGTTTTTTTTATCATTTCTAATAGATTCTGCCTCAAAACCTTTACTAGGCTTTGCTCTGTATGTGTACAAATACGATGCTTGCAAAGGACAGATGGCTATCTTGGACAGTTTTTACGTGGCCCCGGAAAACAGGAGCAGGGGCATAGGATTAAGCTTAATGAAAGCGGTGGAACAGGTTAGTGACAGGATGTAAAACATGTCTTTAAGGAACCTTGGAAGAATCTGTGTCATTTGTCGATATCTAATCCCTAAAATCTGATTCCAGTCATCCTTGTAGTTTATAAATCCATTTTATTCGTGAGCATTATCGATAAAGAATGGATATAATCAACGGGTAATAAGAAAAAAGGCAACTACGGCAGAATGTATTACAAGTGATCACGCGAAGTGAAGACTATATAAAATGTGACGATTCCAAGCTTAATATGACATTCCCTTGATTCTTTCTTTTTTAACTTTAAAACTGTGTTGTCATCTTGAAAAACGATTGAGCGTAACGCTTAGTTTTCGTGATTTTTCCAGGATGTTGCAGAATGCGGTTGTAGTCAGATGGAGATGCTGGTTCACGATTGGAACGCAAGAGCTATTGAGTTTTATCTCAAAAGGAGTGCAGTTAATTATACCGACCAAATGCATTGGCACATTTACAGGATACCATTATCAAATATATCAAAAACATAAAAATTGTATTTCCAATAACAACAGAATGCTTATGGTTTAAACGTTTCAATTTGTATATTTTGAAGCTATGAGTATGATAGCAAGCAGAGTGTTATTTGATGCCTAAACTATAAATGATATTGAACAAGGAAGTCAAACTCATTAATCAGAGCATAACCAGATAACGATACTCACCAATAATGAACCATTTGTTAAATAATTGTTTTACCTGTATCTGTGGGCTGCCAATCATTTTAATGTACACAGCGTTACAATTATAATCAATGAACATGAAAGGTGTTTTTGTATTTATTAATGTAATAGCATTTGTAATATATACATTTATAAAAGTAAAACAATATAGAGTAGGCAGTAGACTTAATGTCCTGACAGGTAATTATCACTTATTTAGTTTTAGTTAGTTCTGCCTATTTACTGCACACCTTTAATCGAAAGAGGTAAACACATTAATCCAATGACAACGTTGCAATTACATACTAGAAACTTGAAAACCGTGTCCAAGTTTTGGAAGAGCAAATCATTAATGAACTCGCATGATATTCCTGAACCCGAGTGGCATGAAAAGGAGATTGACAGATGAAGATACTACTATAAATAATTCAGCATAAATCGCAAGGTTTGACTATATGTTGTATTTTACACATTCATGTATGATAAAGAAAATACACGTGCTGCGAAAATGCAATATCATTGTGCGTTTAACTACTATATTGATTGTTTGATGGGATTCGCTCGGGAGTCGCTCCTCTGTAATCTTCTTAGGGCAGGTATATTTACCTGAGACCAATCAAATAGCTATATTTGAGTCTTCGATTTTGCTATGACATATTCCAGGGGTGCAGGCAGACACAGGGGCATGGATCGCTTTAATAACTCTTGTAATATTAAACAAGAGGCCCAGAGGGCCTTATCGCTCACCTGGATACCTAAGCAATCATGGCAAACTATTCTCCAAACGAGATCAAGGGAATATGCCAGACCCCAAAGCAAATCCTTGTAGCATAGCTATATTAGATTTTTCATGCCCAGCAATTTATGTATGGTTATGGGGTGGGGATCTCTACTGTTTCCAAGCTTTGACTCAGAAACTAGGTCCCTAAAGTTGTGGCCAGACCCCAGGATCGATTCTAATATCGTGACTGCATTTGTCTCTTTTTGCCAAGCATTTCTATATATAGTTTTGGGGTGGGGATCTCAACCGTTTCAAAGTTATGACCCAGGGAAGGGTGGGGCAGACCCTGGGATCAATTGCAGACCCCAAGGCCAATCCTTGGAACATAGCTATATTAGATTTTTCATGCCCAGCAATTTTATGTATGGTTATGTGGTGGGGATCTCAACTGTTTCCAAGCTTTGACTCAGAACTACTATATTGATTGTTTGATGGGATAAAAATAAAATGCGTACAATAGTCCAAAGACACAGGCTTGAAAACATTTGTATATGCCATATATATTTATAATAAAATATTTAAAATAAAAATTATATATTCCTCAAAAAAACATTTACAAACGTAATGACAGATGCATGAACACTCTTGTACTATATTTAATGTAGCTGATATAGTCATTTTCTGTACATATAGACATTGTTAAGCTGTGATATATCGGAATCATGAACAGTTTGGAGTGATGTACTTGTATATTAAGCGATGCTGCTGTTAGATTGTAAGATTAAATCATAACTCCCATATAATATAGAAAGCTATTAGTTTATGTTTATATACAAGGATCCTTTAATGGATCTAAAACGGCGTTATTAAGACCAGCAGTGTTATTAATGTTTTCTGGAAATCAACATATCGGCATCTATATAATAATACTGAGAGCACAGCTGGTGTGGACAGGCAAACCACGTGACCACATTCCGAAGTATAAATGTCACTGTTTATAAAGCATATTGCTTATACAAATATAACAATGCATGCATTTTATATTCTGTTGATCATTGAAACAAACAATTATATTAAATTATTTTTTACGACATTTTAGCTTTTGTTATAAACAAAATATCTAAGAAATAATAAATTGCTATCCGCAGCGTACTCAGATCGGATTTATAAGTATGATAAAAGTTAATAGAAAAAATTTAAATGACTGAGGTGTCACTTTGATAATTTGATATTACCCTATTTTGCTGTTAACATAAACAGTGGTATTTTTTTAATTGTCTATAGAAATCACTTGAACTGACATGAAGATGATTGCGTCAAACAATCACAATCGACACTATATTCTCATTGTGTTTGCTTCCAAAATAGTTTCATAATAATGAAATTATTATTAATTCAGAAAACAGTCGTACAATTTCGTCAGTACAATGTGTAATGTTGTTGGTATCGGTACACATTTCTCGGGGATTATCCAGCCAACTACTTTTCAAGTATATAATGCAGACTTCATTTCCTGTATATCGTCTAGCCATCTTCATTGCCAGTGATGCAATCCAGTCTCCTTCATATTCGGTAGATAATCAAGTAACCTTCAATCCAAGTACATATGCAACCATATCTGGTAGATAATCTATCTTTCTTAATGTACAGGTAACTTTGACTAGGTGGTGATATGGTAGGTTTTTTGAAACAATGTTGTAAATACTGCCTGGAAACTAGGGGAAAGCGGTTGAGAGGTGGCTATACAACATAACAAAATGTACCCGTTTTCAAGAAGAAATTTGGTAGTATCTTTAAGATATGAAATGCATTTTATTTCATTCTAGCTCCAGATTTAACTCACGTAGCTTTCATCCATTAGGTAAATGTAAAAAGAAGAACAATACGCTTAACTTGTTGCAATGCTGTAGCTATATGGATGTAAATTACAGATCACACAGATTCTGACGGAAATTTTGATGGTAATGTCTTTGTTTATTCCTCAAAAGCGACATGATCGTAGTCTCAGACATATAAACAGTACAAACAAACACAACGTTAAAATTCACCCTGGAAACAATTTTTGAACTACATGTGTTCGTTTCCGTTCTCTGCATTACGAACATTTCTTGAGGATTTAGAGACTTCATAAAATTATTGATGAGGTTGACCACTTCCAAAGCTGTTCGTGCTGATAGCCACAAACATTCGGTCGAATTTTGAAGCAACGAGTTAAATTCCAATCTTCACATTAGTAATATCCTACATCAAAAGTCCGTCGACACAAACATACTACCGTACTTCAGAGGCTAGATTCTGGGTAAAGCACAAAGTGTCTCTAGTGTTTATGACATACATCCTTCTTCAAGCACGTTAAGGCTACTGGTATAAAACATAGATGCTTTAGTCGATATGACGTTAGTTACTGGTATAATTCACAGAGTCACTAGCCAATGTCATCCTTCCTTAATCAAGTACATCATTCAAGTAAACTTCTGGTCATCCTCGATACTCCAGGTGTTACGCTCCCTGCACCCTTGGAATATGTCATAGCAATTTGAAGGTACAGTGTGCGACACTTTGTTGATGAGACAAGAATACCAGTTCGATCCTTTCAAGTTTGACGTACATCAGAAGAATATCCCGGTCGCGTAACGGTATTAATTGACAGGCTTTGAAAAAGTCGGAAGTCGGTCCTCTGTAATCTTCAAAGGGCAGGTATCAGCGTGGCGATTGATCAGGTGGTTTTTTTTACCCGAAACCAATCAAATAGCTTTATTTGTGCCTTCGATTTTGCTATGACATATTCCAGAGGTGCAAGCAGACACAGGGGCATGGATCGCTTTACTTGTAATATTAAAAAATAGGGGTCTCCTATACTAATAAATACAAAGGGATATAACGGCAGACTGAAATCCGTTACTCAGCTCGTGTCAATCACAAATATTTGTCCATATTGGATATACCTCGGTTGAATATTGAAGACAGGTGATTGATTTACAAAATTAAACCATAATTACGACTGTCTGACACATAGTTATCAACTGACACCGCTTTAAAGTCGCAATAACACCGTTAAATTGCGACCGAACCAAATTCTATACTCACGGAGAAATGACCCAGTTTCACGGATAATCTCGAGAAATATATCCAAGGAATGGTTCCAATACATGTGCTGCCCGCTTCTCTGAAATACTACGACGATCAGTTTAATAGTATAGGAGACCCCTATTTTTTAATATTACTAGTAAATTGATCCATGCTCCTGTGGGTGCAGATAGCGTAGAGTACCAAGGATGGCTACTGGTATACCAAGTGCTCCTCTTGTCAATGGTGCATCCTTCCTTCGCGAGATACGGGCATTCATAACCATATATATATTAGAAAATAAATTACAAAATACGAGTTTGGTTAGGTTTTAAGTCCTTGCAACAGCTAAGATGATTTAAAGACTGTCCACGACGGTAAAATTTGGACAAAGTTAAAGTGTCTTAACCCTGGGAAAGTGCATCTAGACACTGCAACACAAGAAATTCCTATCAGTCTCATGATTTCAGCACTGGGCCAATCAATCCTTACCACCTCTCCATTAATGCTGAACGTCAAGCAGAGAGCAGCAAAAAGAACCATTTTAAGGACTGTGGTTTGTCTAGGACAGGAAAAACCAAAGGTAACACACATGCATTGCCAAATAAGGCATTAGGAAGTAGCTGAAAGGAGAGAACGGGTACGGATGACTTCTTTTGTTCGTTGTTGTGCCCTGCAAGGGGACTCCACATTAGTCGTCTTTTTTGAACGCTGCAGTAGTTAACAGCAGTCATATATTCTTTTCTTACTAACTTGCTATATACTTATTGTATTACTAACAAACAATCACAAACCAACTACTTTGAAATGTTGATTTCTTTCATATTTAGCATTTATTGTACATGTACATCAAACATACAGCCTCATTAAAATCTACATAGAAAATCATCTAAAATATTTGCAAGTGCGACAAAATATTTTCTTTGGAGATGCACTGTCACAATTCAAAATGTTATTTATTGATTCAAAACAACAAATATATCACAATATCTACATCTGCTTCAGGGCTTTGATAGGTCTTCTGAAAATTTGTTCAAAAACTGAAATTCTAAAATCATAATAGGTGTGCACACTGTCCTTTATAATGGTGTTGTCCAAAATAAGAAACAATATTTATATAATTATAAAAGATTAGCTTTAAAATCCCCTCCATTTTCAATTTTCTTCTGATTTGATCTGAAGCAATATTCATGTAAACATTGATAACAAAATAGTCAGAGTTGTTTTGTTTACTTTTCGATATTTGAAGTCTTTTAAAAATCATCTAAATTGTCTGAATTTTGTATGTTGTAGTAGTTTGATAAAATATCAAAAACATACATTTATATGTACATGTATAAATGTCAAGAGGAGTTTTTTTTAAGTTTATTGTAACCTGTTGTACAGTCCAGACAGGATTGTGTACAGCAGATATATATAGGATCTTACACGAGTTTCCATTTCATGAGATTTATGAAACGAGTCTAAGAATTTTTCAATTAAGCAATCCTATGGCGAGCTAAAATGAAAAATTTGTGAAAAGTTTCATAAATTTCACATGAAATGAAAACAAGTGTAAGATCACTTTTATCACAAAATCAAGATTTGTGGCGTTTATTCGTGTAAAACGACAATTTTCATGCAACCATGAAATGTAAAAAGCCGCCATTTCGACTCCAGAGCGGAAGTATGTGACATCATGAACTTGTCCTAGGAGTGGCGTCACAATTGAAACAAATGGAACTTTCAACCAATCACAGGGCTCATAGGTCATATTACATTGGTTAACAGGCCAAAAAATATGACATGGGTATATTCACTGGATAACACAGTACATTATGTGATAAAATATCTTTTTACAAGCATAAGTTAAAACCATTTTTAGTTTGCTGAAATAAAGTTGTTACCATTTTAGTCCAGGAAATAATATAGAGGAACAATGGAACCATTTTCATCTGGATGTTCTAGTTTCATTTTACAGTGGATTCCCTTTATACGGATATTTTTGTTTCAACAGATATATTAAACCCTCTAAAGTGTGGACACTTTGATTTCTATCTACAGTGGAGATGTGTTAGTCAAGACACTTTGATTTCATTATACAGTGCTTTAATCAGACCTATGGTCTCTGTTGCAATGGAACCTCTTTATCATGGACAGAATGATTTCTGTATACAGTGGAACCTCTTCAGTATAGACAATTTTGTTTCTGTACAGAGTGACACCTCTTCACTCTAGACACTTGGTTGAAATCCACAATGTCAGATAACAATCTTTTTTTTTCTCTCTCTTGATGTTACATGAAGACTCCTTGCAGTAAATGAAACTCATTTATGAATGAGTCGTCTGCTGGGTCAATGAAGCTGTCCTATACGCATGAATAGTCTGTAGATTTAATGAAACTGTTTTTTACTTATGAATAGTCCTTGGGGGTTAATGCACAGATCTTCAAGGGAACACATGTAACTGAACGATGAGTGACGAAATGAATTGTTGATTTTTTATATGTCTCAGGAAACTGACAATATAATATTTCTGGTGATGATAAATTCACTTAACATACTTTTCCATGAATTTTTTATGAAATTCTGACCGTAAAGTGTCATTGATAAAATTTCCCTTTTTCTTGTCCTCTTCAGCCTTTGCACAGTTCTTAAACACCACATCATCGTCCCATCTGAAATATATTGATTAAAATTTTAAACTTTTACAACAGTAACTCGTACTTACAACTTACATCTTCATTGAATCTGTCAGATTAATATTCACAAGTGAATATTGACACCTTTTGATTCCACTGTTAAATACAAAGGTGTACTCTAAAATACTATCGCCAATACTTGTTTTTAGCACTGTTCTCGAGGATTTGAATTGGAATGTGTAAAATGAAATATAACCACTATTATATTCTTTGCTTATATGTATCTGAATAAATGCTTTTTTGTTGATTTACATCGTTACTGTTAATATTTGCCTATAGAACAGATTACATATCCTTCAATCTGTACATTCATACATTGTGTCATCATCATTTTTCTGTACAGAATTTAAAACATTCTTTCATATGAATCTGCCTTCATATTGAAACAAATATAGGTAACACTGATGGGCTGAGTGGCTGTCAAGAAAGACAATATCAAGACTCTCAGAAGAGGTTACCTCTCTTTTGTAGTGAATTCTCCGACAATTCAGCATTTTTAGCAAATGTGAAAATGATTGAATTTTGAGAAAGTGACTGCAGTAGAGATGTTTTTGGATTTAAATCCTATTATTCTAGGATGTAAGTAATGAATGGTCGTAATAGATATGCATACTAATGACCTTATACATATATGTGACTGACTACAACAATGGTCAATCAATTAAATATGTCACAATAGTTGAGTTACCTCCCTTCTCTTCTCTCATAGAATTGGATAAAATTCAAACAATATTTTAGCATCTTCACGTTGCAGTTTTCCTGATATATTTAATCTCTTTGTCGTTGTTCACACACACACGGTATCAGTGGTCAACGATGCTGTCAGCGTAAAATCTACCTTTGGCTAACCCTAGCTGAGGGGCTTATGGTTTTTTAAATATTAGCTATATCCTATTACAGGTAATATTATTTTTATGTAATTGTTTTTTTTATTTGTCTCGATAAAGGAGTCAGAATGACTTCCTTGCCCCATATACAATGGGGGACAATATATACAACAAGGTTATAGCTGTCTGTCAAGAAGCAATCTGAGCTCAGGTTTTTTGAGGATTTCCAGTGAACCGATCTGAATGAAAATATTCTACAACAAATTCATTATTTTCTACCACACAGTCTTAATTCCACAAATCATATCAGTGCAGGGCCATAACTGGAGAGTTTTCAGTGTTTGTCGGCAGGAATTCATAATAAGTATGAGGAAATTATACATAAATATAGATACTTGACTATACACCATATAAATCAATTTTTAGACAAAATTGACAGCACTACCACATCAAATCAATTCAAACTCAAAGCATTTGAACGAAAATAACTCCTGCAAAGCAAGCAAAACAGCAAAATCATGAAGAATGCCAACCTTCTCTTGACTTTAAAATCTGCAGCTACTTTAGTCTCAATTTGGTTCATCAGGGGGTTTCCCTTTAGGATATTCTCTGTTCGGATTCTCTCCTCTTCAACCTTCTTCTCTGCATCCTGAAATTCAGTTTAAAAGAACAATGTCAAGAGTACTAAACTGTTGTCTTCCTTGTTTGAAGTTTGAACTGTGGTTAGTACCTCTAACGAAATACAGAATTAGTGTAAATCTCAATAACTTGAAATGCACAATGAGGAATATATATTTGTAAATAAAAACTTATTTCACACTAAGTGACAATCAATAAACAATCTGTTAGAACTGTACATCACACAGTTATTCTAAAAATCATTTGGTATATACAGCGACATGAAAGCAATGAAATTGTTTATGAAATCAAACTTCAATCATTTCTATCACATGGTGAAAACAAAATACTGGTACAGTAACCGACAAAATAATATTCTCTCCGACACGACTTATTTCCATGTTACTTTGTATCATAACACCGACTCACTTACCAAGCGAACTCGTTCGTTAGCACGTTCTTTCTTAATTTTCTGAAGTTCTGCCATGAGTTCTGCAGTGTCATCCTCATCATCAGAGGAGTCATCTTCATCCTGAAGTTGACAGAAAACATTAGACATCCAAGCTATGGAGGCAAAGGTTTCTATTCCATTATCTTTACCACAGGACACACTTCACCCAATGCTCCAACCAACTAAGCAGTATAACTGAGTATTGGCATGCAATAGGTGTGGCTGGTATTCCTTTAACCCTTCCACCCCTAGGTAACTTTAGTTGACTCTACCATACATTTATCTTGGCAAGTCCATTTTGGTCTACAGCGGTGAAAGGGTTAAGCTGATGACTTATCAACTCTGACTGACTGGCCTTTATTTGAAGCAACTGTTTCATATTACTTAACAACAATTGGTAATTCAATAACTAATATAATTTGATAGTAACACTTATAAATATTTATTTAAAGCTGTTTATTCCTAAAATCAATATATGTATGCACTGTTTATATTTTAAGGAGAGGGCCTTTATAGGCTTTACCCAATTCCTTTTGTATGTATTACATAAAAGGCCTTAAAGACCTATACAATCAAATGTTCTGAAATGGAAAAGGGTCTACTAAGCTCATTTTGGGAAGTCAAAAAGTTATGTACTCTCAAGGGTATACATAAAGCCCTATAATACTTGGTCATCCTTAAAGTTTAACAAAACTTGTTTTTCTACTGTTAATATGTACAATTATTTAAGCAGGACTCAGAATTTCTACCAAATAACTAGCTGTGTGATTAATACACCCCAATCCCTATTCCAAATTCTGTCTCTTGTTACATACTTCATCATCAACCGGGTCATCTGCATCCAGATTAGCTGCAGGGATCTGTTCCAGACGAGGTCGCTTGCTGCTGCTGCTGCTGCTGCTTCCTGACTCTGTAACACAGTACAAATACTACAGATGACAGGGCTGTGTTTTGTTGTGATTTCTGAGTGAGTCATATGAATCCCAGTCATGGGAACTAATTATGTAAGGTGATTTTTATGAAGGTTTACATCATCAAATTCTATTTTGAATATTCAATATTAATATGGAAATCAATTATAGGCACCTTCTGGCATGAACTACCACTGGTACTTATAAGTAGAAATTTTATAAAGTAGGATAATGACTATAAGTGACAAAATGCATTTTTGTGTCAAATGTATACCTTAGTTATAAGTAGTCTAAAAGAGTAAACACCTAAACGTACTAAACATGTTTTACTGTACTCGTTTACCAAGACTGTGAAAATGCTGAGGATTCTTAATACCAAATAAATCTGAAAATGAGAAAAAGAACAGTAATCCAAATCACAAATGTTCCCAAGGTTGATAACAGAACAATATTTTAATTTCACTGACCCCTGTTTCTGTCTCGTTTGTCACGTACTGCCCTCTCACGATCTTCAAGGTCACGACGGAAATCACGTCCTCTCAGCTCATCTACGGTGCCCTGTCCGTCCTGTCTGTAAAAATGGGGGGAAATGTTACACACTGAAATTTTTTCATCTTTATAAGGTAATATTGTGGGGAAAGGACTCCCATTAACTTATTGTATGAATATATATCCGAAAAAATATGACATTTATAGGAAATATGTTATGTTAAGTTTTACTTGATACACAATCAATGTATCAATTGTTTCGCAACGTTTCAAGACAGACTTGTCTCCTTGTCAAGCTATGACAATGTTGCGACACATTTGATGCATATATTGTTTATGCATAAAGTAAAACTTCGAAATAATGTATTTCTAAACTTATTGAAGATTCAGAACATATTTAGTCTTATTGTCTTTAGTAATCACCGTGTCCAAAAATTGTTGTTTCTTTGTTTTGAGATATGGTATATCCTCACAACAGCTATGGTAATGAAAGTGGGTGTAACAGAGTTTATCATTCAAGGTCAGCCCAAGTAAAAATATGTGTGTTTCCTGTTTAAGCTACAACAATACTTTTACTTGGACTCCCATTCTCTATCACCTTTTCCTTTATATACTAACAAGACAGAACTTTAGAATACTCTCAAATGAAAACGAAGTTTCTTCAGGACAACAAGGCTTGTTTAATTATTGATGTAATTGTTCAAATAAACCCTTACTCAATATATTCTTACCTGTACTTGATTTTTGTGTGTGAGGGTAAGTCTCGACTTGAGTACTGTTTAGACAGGGCACTAAGATCACCTTCATTCTTTCCTCTCCCACCACGGGCAGGTTCAAATGTGGGACGTGCCGCAGTTGTCATCCCTTAGCTTGTGAGCAAAACCAGACTGTAAAATAAGAGAGAAAGTCAACACCATTCAATTCTTTGATATTTTGTGCATTGCTGTTTTAACGAGCAGATACTAACAACTGTAGCAGAATGGTAGAGGTTATTTACTGACGGGCACCGAAGCAGGGTAGGTAATGGTGCCATCTTAAAACGACAACATAATTGACTTTATAGAAGTTGCCATAACAGGGTATAAGAATTTTTGTACACAATTGTACCTCATTGTATTTTTTATTTGATTATGTTGAAAGAATGACGCCCTTTTTTGTTCGTAATTTAAAATAGAACTTTGTGTGTTTTTATTTCACTTTATTCCCCATTTCAGTAATAAAATTGTTACTCAAATGGGTAACTGTTACCCATATGCAGGATTATTACCCATATGCGCCGTTGTGCCCAACCTGTTAGCGTGGCCAAAGCTTCTCAAAGGACAGAAAGTCTCATTTGAAAAGCATCATGAGATTGGAAAGAAAATTAATCTTATTCAAATCGTTTACTCTCTAAATTATTTTACTTGTGGAACGTCTTTTCAATATATACACATGGTAAGACAACCAACACAGCCATGCACTTCAACTTGACTTGGCGCTGTTGATTCGCTAGTTTTGATCAATTGTGATGGCTGTGTTTTAACTATCTAGCAAGAGATGGGACTGGCAGATAAATCGCTTAAAATAGTGAAATATATTGCGTATATATGATAAAAATAGTAGATGAAGCAAGGTTTAGTCTAAATGTTAACGTAGACATTTCCATACGCAATGAAGATACGTACCAAATATGTTTTACACCGCTTTCCTAGCAGTAAATTTACCGGAAGTGAAAATATAGCCTTAAACCTAGAGGAAAATTGGTAATAAATAAATATATGATAGGAAAATCGCATACATTGATATCTAATCAATAAACAATACAGTTAAAGATATACCAAAAAGCATGTTGTACCAAATTGTTGTAACAGAAAAGTAGTAATAGAATTATAGTATGTAGAGATTAACGAATTTACTAATAAACAAAATGGAGTGTGGTTTCTTTCCGGAATACGATAACATGTGATAGGAAAGTAAAGTATTGGTACAATAAGCTTGTTGTACAACAAACTGATCACATTTATAAATAAACTAGACTATAAAACATATAGTTTTTTCTCTCTTACTGTATGCTGCGTACAATCCATCCTCGATATCTAGTTGTTACGCTCATTTAATAACACTTGATTAACAAACTATCACTATCACTGAGCATGTTTTCCTGTGACAGCTATCGACTGCTGACGCCCAAACTTACAGGACATGTTTCCGGTGGTGCATGTTGATGACTACTATGGGCAAGTTTTATGATCGTAATTATAATCTTTATGGAGAAATATGATTTCGGTGTGTGATATGATATTTTTTATTTGCCTGTACTCATTAGTGTGTCGTATTGTTTTATTGTCACTACCCCGGTTCTAGCTTTAAGGACGTGACATTTCTTTTGACATATGATTTTGCCTATAGACTTACATACCAGTTTTGTCGATGAGGAAGAAGACACTAACCTTTCCCGGACGCTTGGTCTTATTCATTTTGTACCTTTCAGGGGATTTCATGTAATGCCTTCATTTGTCGATATTTTTCCATAGTTTTGCGATTTTGATTTCTAATTGTGGTTTTGTTGGGGATTTCGAGACTCCTAACAAACAGAGAAGACCATATACTGCTGGTGCATTTCAGTAGCCATAGACCTGTCATACGGGGACTTCAGGACTCCTAACAAACAGAGAAAACCATATACTGGTGGTGCATTTCAGTAGCCTTGGACCTGTTATACGGGGACTTCGAAACTCCTAACAAACAAAGAAGACCATATACTGGCGGTGCATTTTAGTAGCCATAGACCTGTCATACGGTGACTTCAAGACTCCTAACAAACAGAGAAAACCATATACTGGTGGTGCATTTCAGTAGCCTTGGACCTTTCATACGGGGACTTCGAAACTCCTAACAAACAAAGAAGACCATATACTGGCGGTGCATTTTAGTAGCCATAGACCTGTCATACGGGGACTCCAAGACTCCTAACAAACAGAGAAAACCATATACTGGTGGTGCATTTCAGTAGCCTTGGACCTTTCATACGGGGACTTCGAAACTCCTAACAAACAAAGAAGACCATATACTGGCGGTGCATTTTAGTAGCCATAGACCTGTCATACGGGGACTCCAAGACTCCTAACAAACAGAGAAAACCATATACTGGTGGTGCATTTCAGTAGCCTTGGACCTTTCATACGGGGACTTCGAAACTCCTAACAAACAAAGAAGACCATATACTGGCGGTGCATTTTAGTAGCCATAGACCTGTCATACGGTGACTTCAAGACTCCTAACAAACAGAGAAAACCATATACTGGTGGTGCATTTCAGTAGCCTTGGACCTGTCATACGGGGACATCGAAACTCCTAACAAACAAAGAAGACCATATACTGGCGGTGCATTTTAGTAGCCATAGACCTGTCATACGGGGACTTCGAGACTCCTAACAAACAGAGAAAACCATATACTGGTGGTGCATTTCAGTAGCCTTGGACCTGTCATACGGGGACATCGAAACTCCTAACAAACAAAGAAGACCATATACTGGTGGTGCATTTTAGTAGCCATAGACCTGTCATACGGGGACTTCAGGACTCCTAACAAACAGAGAAAACCATATACTGGTGGTGCATTTCAGTAGCCTTGGACCTGTCATACGGGGACTTCGAGACTCTGAACAAACAGAGAAGACCATATACTGGTGGTGAATTTCAGTAGCCATGGACCTGTCATACGGGGACTTCGAGACTCCTAACAAACAGAGAAGACCATATACTGCTGGTGCATTTCAGTAGCCATAGACCTGTCATACGGGGACTTCGAGACTCCTAACAAACAGAGAAAACCATATACTGGTGGTGCATTTCAGTAGCCTTGGACCTGTCATACGGGGACTTCGAGACTCTGAACAAACAGAGAAGACCATATACTGGTGGTGCATTTCAGTAGCCTTGGACCTGTCATACGGGGACTTCGAAACTCCTAACAAACAAAGAAGACCATATACTGGTGGTGCATTTTAGTAGCCATAGACCTGTCATACGGGGACTTCAAGACTCCTAACAAACAGAGAAAACCATATACTGGTGGTGCATTTCAGTAGCCTTGGACCTGTCATACGGGGACTTCGAGACTCCTAACTAACGGGGAAGAGCCATGTAATCTCTGTCCTTCAGAATCTTACTGATGCTCCTCAAAGTCTATGATATGATGGTAGATTTTGTTTAGTCTATTGGGTTTAAAGTCGTTTGAAATGCTAAGGTCATATAACGTGCGTATATGCCGACTTTAGAGTAAAACCATGATGCCGTAAGCACCGAATACAGTATTCCATCCGGATATATTATACTAACAACCAACACCTTCACCGCAACCCAATCAAATCTGAACGTCAAGCAGAGAGCAGCAAGTACCAGCGAGTTTGGTTTGTCATGTACAGAACCCATAATTTAACCGTCCATCGCTTTGGTGAACGCTCCACACCATGGCTAGAAAACAAGGAGAGAAGATATAAATATCCTATACATTTGAATAGGTGCAGCAGTTTTAATTTTGTCACTTTTGTGTTTCCAAGCGGAGGGCACAAAGGCAAACCCCCCAATTTCGCAGGGGTTCTTACATTAGTCGCCTCTTACGAATCATGAAGAGGGTAACATCAGGTGTATTCAGACTGCAGGACCATCATACTCGACATAAATAACAATTGACTCTCTCTTGATGGACACTTCAACAATTAAAGTTGTATGATTTACCTAAATCTACGAAAAGCGAGGTAAAGTAATACTGTACTTTTAACATTATATAAGTCATTCCTCCTAATCATTTAATTACACCTGAAACCACATGTAAGAATACAAGAAAATTAATTATGAAAATAGTTTAGCAGTCAAGGAATGTGGGGGCGAGGTACTGCCAACGAGTGTGGTCAATGGCTGGATGGTGATCATGGGTGCCCACTGCACGTTACGATAGAATCTACATTAGTATGTGATTTTGAAATAACCTCAGCATTTGCTATCTACCTTAATCTAACAGATGATATAGTCCTCATTGTGACATTAGAACAATAAGAATAGGTAAGGTGATGTAAAAACAGGGCCCAGATGAGTCTTGACCGTTCACCTGACGGAGAATTTTGCTATGTTATAGCAAAATGTAGATGATGACACAACACTGATGGTGGACAACTATACTGTTTATGTTGAAGCGGAGTCAGAGGTGTTTGTGTATCACCTTAACATGTTACGCTTATTTGTTGGTGAAACTAGTGGAGGACGAATGGCTTTAAAAGAGAAAATCACAAACGAAATAGGCCTATATATGACCACGGACTTAGATAACAATCTAATTCCGTGATAGGACTGAAAATCGTCAAAAAACTTATCATCAGAGGCTACTTCAGATGCAGGGTTAGGACAACTGTTACACCCATGCATCCGCTACTTATGTATTATTAGTAGTATGTGTATGATGTCAGACGATACATTTAACACGTGTATCATGAAACTCGCCTTCCTTCCTCCCTGCTCGAGTCTCTCTCTGGCTCTGTTTAGTATTTCTTTATTTTGTATTTTAAAACAGTTTCTAATTTATCAGCAGAGTACGTGTTTCCGCATTGGTCTTCGAATTCTACCTATAAAGCGTCGTAACAATAAAACGTTTATCAAAACAGCAAGAGCTGCATTATTGAGTTACTACGACGAAACGTGTTGGGTTATTATCCAATCCGGATCCTAGTTCCGTTCCCGGTGTTTGCTCCGCCCATTAGTTGATTACTGTAAATGTCAATAAGCCTCGGTCATGTCAGTGTATTCGAGGTTTGTGTATCGGAGCTAGCACAACAAAATGACCCCTCGATGTGTGTACCTCGGATGTATCGTCGTGTTTGGATTAATGACATGTCCTGCTGCATATTTCAACATGTATCTTGACTCGGCGGAGACGTTTAGACTTCTAGGTAAGTCATGAACAGAAGTTTGCTGCAGATGCAAACATAATGTCGGGCATTTTGTTTTAGAGATGTGGGCTACTTGTATGTGTGTTGTGTTGTTTACGCCGGTTTTTTGGTGATATTGGCCACTGAGATAGTAGTCCCATTCAAACACCACTACAAGATATCAATTTAATACTATGCATTATTAACAGATACTTGTTTGTTGGGTTTTAACTCGCTAATGATGCCGACAAGAACGGAACAGTGGAATACACATCATGTGTATTGCCCTAGATTTTCATGGCAGCGAAAGTTTCCTGCCTTCTAGTATTAGTCACCTAGAGAAATTCCAAATCGTGTACTTCATTCTTCTGTCTCCTCGTTCTCAAATGCTATCAACATAACACCACACCCGTTTCAATATTTGGAAGTGACCGAAATATTAAGATAAACCGGTTACAAGTAGGAGCTGAAATTTGACACACTGCAAAAAACACACACGTGTGATTTCACACATATCCCAACACACGTGGTTACAGACTGTTATCGTGCTGATGGGTAGTATCAGCAATAATTGGAAATCTGTAATTAAATCATTACAAAGATTGGTGTCTAAATTAAAGGTATACACATTAATAAACATTTGATGTTGTCATTTTTGATGTCAAAGACTCAGGCTGTGCAATTCATTTTTCAAAAGTAACAGAGTATTGATGTTCATATTTTGATTTAATGTAAAAAGTCAATTTTAATTGATGTCATGTGACGGTATGTCATACACCACTGGCCTTGCTCACCTAAACATACAACATGATGAAAAATAAATGTGTAACATTAACATCTTGAAAAATCAGATTAAGAGAAATCAGGGACGTATAGTATTGTAATTATACTCTATCAAAATATTGTTATAAATTATATCTTTCTGATAAAATCAGCATTCTCAAAATGGTCCTATTATCTTGTACAGGCCCAGATATGACAGTTATTTGAAAATAAATACATGTAATTTAAAATTAACATTTTGAAAAAATTAGATCAGATTAAAGAAAAGTGTATACGCTATCAAAATATTGTTTGAAATATATAATTTAGGATTATGATAAGATAAAAATTCTGAAAACGAATGTTTTGCGTTTAGTCCCCTTATGTTGAGTACGCCTCCAGATAAACATATGACAGTTATACTTTAAGTGTTTGTTTTAGCTCACCACGTTTTAGTATCAGTATGGCAGGTAAGACCTCTGACCCGTAAGAAGTGTGCTTGAATCAATTGACTCATCCTCTCTGGATTATTATTTTTATTGAACTTGGGCAGGGCTACTCCTTCATATGTTTTATGAAATAGATATTTTGATGCACGGAAATTACTGAACACACTAGATTAGGCTGTATATAAATATGTGTAAATTAATTGCCAATAAATTAGAATCAACTGATCAGTCTTCTGTTTCATGAAGCATCTTCATTTCCCCTATAGCAAAGTAAAGATCCGTCTTAACCTCATTTAAATGCTGATAAATCTTGGACCAATGCCGGGGTCTACTAAATTTTTAAATATGTTGAGTCCAGTGAAAATTTTGTATAGAAGTAGAAGTTTTCTAAATCTGCCTCTTGGCTACTGATAGATCTTTAAATTTATACAACATTAAACTTAAACTGTCAAAGGCAAAATTTTAAGTTTCTGTAATGTACAAGTTTATATTTATTCTTAGCTCTTAGGTAAATCACTTAATGTTTTTTCTTTTATAATTTCAACAACATGTTGTGATCTGTCGTTGAATTCATTTGTATTTCATTGGTAATCAAATAGTTAATAATAGGTGATGGTTAATCTTGAAATTTAAGAGTTTAGCATACGTATATATTTATAAAAGCAGCATATGTATTGTATTGTAAAATATGTCCTGTCTGGGGTTTAAAATAAAATAACCAACGTAGTATAAAAGCCTGACTGCTGATTACCGTTGTTTGTGAGACCATCAGTACTGGGATTATTGTTCACTGTGTGAATTAATTAGGCCTGGAGTTCTGTGTCCTTGTGTTTTAATGGCTGTATAAAGGTTGAACTGTCATGATACTATTATATAAAGCTTAATTCATTTAAGGTTTAAATGCTCTGTTAAAGAACAACTTCAGGCACTGATATTTTCTTAATTATTAAAATAGCAAATTAATTGAGATGCATTCTTGGATTTCACCACCAGAAATAAACCATTAAACCTGGAAATCCCCTCCCAGTAAATTTGACTTGATTTGTCTTCAGGTTTTAAACGAAGCTTAATATAGCTGGACCGAGTCTTAATGGTTATAATAGGGATGAAAAGGTTAACTTATATCCAGAAAAGTAGTTGACCGTATTAGGAACTATTTAATTTTGTACTAAACTAGATTTGTATGATGATCGATTCGAGGGAATACATTCAAGGTCTTTGATCACTGCAGTGAAAATACAAAGTTTATCATGATATTAAAATTATATGTGACATGTGATTGTGACGGGCCATCCTATCAAAAGTCCTAACACAGGCTTTATTTGAAGGATCTCTGGCAAACAATTGTCATATAGGGAAATGTAATTAGGCTTAACAGAAAAACTTGTATTGTTTGTTTCCTGTTACATGTCTGAAAAAAATTTGGGTAGGTAGCTATTAAATTCTATTTTCACTTTTTATAAGGTATTATATAAGACAGTAATCTGTACTTTTAACAGCGCTTCCTTCAAGATTGCCAAAATATTAGGGTATAAAGCACAAAATATTGGGGTAGGTTGGGTAACCGGAAGCAAACAAAATTGAATTTTTGGTCTTTACAGAAAATTAAATGGTTTTCCACTGGCTATCTTTTATATTTCACTCATCGTAATGGAAGTTCAGCTGATCAATATTAAATCAGAAGATAGTTTTATACTCTTAATCAGTAAATACTACTAATAAAAACTAGATTTTTTTGGTAAAATATTTGGAATAGGATTATATAATTTCTGGAAGTTGTCCAATTGGTTTTGTAAACAAGAAAAGTTCACCCACCAAACTGGCAGTGTACTAATGTATTGGATGTCTGATGAAATAGTGACCATGTATTGCAGTCTGTCAAAATGATGCATCACTTTATTGATGGGGAAATATGATCAACTGGTAAGTGGGATGAAGAGAAATGATTCTGCTGCAGTGAGAAAATAGTTTTCCAAACACAAGAGAAGTTGTTTGAGGAAAAATATGTCTAATTATAGGCGCTCATTTGCTCCTGATGCCTTTATTAGTACGACATCTCTGAGGAGGACACTGAGTTTGGATGCCGTCTAGAGATTCTTGATCTACGCCATACTAATATATATATATATATAGTTGCTGTGCAATTTGTTAACAAGTTGAGAAGTTCTGTTGTAGCATGTGTCTATGATGTGATGAAATATACGGGACTGCCTAAGTCTCCCTTGGGAGTTAAATCCCTGAGGTCTCACAAGAATCTGTGCCAGTTTCTTATTCTGTCTAATTATATATAAAACACCCTAATCTAAATTGGGTGCCTTCAACATCCAACTCTATATCTCAGGGGTTCAGTTAATTGATTATGACAGACATATATCTTATCATTTATACCAGGAACATGAACACACCATTTCACCACCCTGGCCTATTATGATTAGTCACTATATGAGCATTGGGTATACAGTAATCATGCTGTTTTAATTTGTGCATTTTAGTCTTATAAATGATCCTTAGAATTTTTTTATTTTTTTATAAAGGTTAAAAAACAACTTGTTTCAAACTATTGTAAAATCACAGATCATGAGATGGGTACAAAACTATTGTCACAACAGTAGGTTTGTCCTTCCATAGCGTTTGTCAGAGCTAGTAATATAACAGGACGTTTTACTGTATACATGGCTAGCTTAAGGTCCTTCTGACATTGTCAGTCTGTGAACAGGTACTGTGTGGAGACCTATCCTGTTCTTTGTAAACTACACAAATGGTATGGTCCTTCATGCTAATTTCTTTGTCAGAGATCTTTTTTTGTTGTGTCACCTTGATTGATAAAGTGCGGCAGTATAATACTGTTACAGTTTCTGGTATTATACTGTCGTGAACTAAAGTATGTTATCTGAAGTACTCGACACTCAGCCTCTGACTAAAGGCCACCCTGAGACTACTCAGACTAGGAAAGGCTACGTCCACATTACAATATATTCATTTCTCTGACAATGCATTTATGCTGCTCTATAATTCAGGTGGTCTATATGTGTACAAAAATGGGGCTTTGAAAGAATAGAGAACCACCAGGTCATCTGGCCTGTCATAAAAACAACGTAATTTTATTCTATAGTACAACTCCTAACAGAATTGCTGTTGAAATAAGTATGATTATGATGAATGACTTCCTTTAAACAAAAAATGAGATAATTGCACAATAAAGAACCATTTTTTTTTTCAAACTTGACACTTTAATAGAACAGACAATTTTTAATAACAAATCTGACTTAATTTCATGCAGTCCCTCCACAGTTAAGAGTAAGACATATGATATTTAAATTGCAGCAATTTAGAAATGAGTTATGGATGCATTGTACATTTATTGGAATTGGACAACAGTGGTTAAGTTACACTTTATGTGAAGTTGTCTTTGTACCAGCTATGTTACCAGTTCTGTTTGTTTGATGTATACAAGTATTGACAATACAAGTTGGTGTTTTTTAATGTTAAAATTTGAATATTTTATTTACAAAAATAAAGCTGGGGATAATTGTCCTTTAAGGCTTTTGCTTGCTTCAATTTTATCTTATTTATAGCTTAAAACAAGTTTTGTATTCATGACCTTAATATCATACATATATGTATAATAAACTCGGCCCACAGGAGGGTTGATTTAGTTTTGTTCAGGAAATGATTTATCACAGTTTAATTTCAGTGGCAATAGTATGTGCTGTATGTATATGTACCTAGTACTCATTGAAAAATATCTACGGATATGATATTGTGGCCCCTGTGAGGGGAAATACATTTTGTGAGTTATTCCTCGTTGTA